CATCCCCAGACCATAAACTTCAGGCAATGAAACATGACAACGAACTACATTTGATCCACCATATGAGATACCTCATTAAAAGAAAATGCACAAGAACCAAAAGATGGAAGCCATCAAGTGTCCATAAATTGATGAATGAATAGACAAAATGTGGTATACAGACAATGGAATATTATTCTGCCTCAAAAAGGAAGAAAATTGTGACACATGCTATGACATGGGTGAATCTCAAAGATATGATGTCAAGTGAAATTAACCAGTCACAGAAGGACAACTACTGTATGATTCCGCTTATAGGAGGTCCATAGAGTAGTCAAATTCTCAGAGACAGAAAGTAGAATGGAGGTTACCTGTACTTGTCTGTTCTGACACTGCTAATAAACACACACCCAGGACTGGGAAATTTATAAAGAAAAAAATTTAATGGACTCACAGTTCCACATGGCTAGGGAGGGCCTCACAATCACCGTGGAAGGTGGAGGAGGAGCAAAGGCAGGTCTAACATGGCAGCAGGCAAAAGAGCATGCGCAGGGGAACTCCCTTTTATAAAACCATCAGGTCTCTTGAGACTTGTTTACTATCACCAGAGCAGCTTGGGAAAAACCTGCCCACCGGGTCCCTCCCACAGCACATGGGGATTATGAGAGCTATAATTCAAGATGAGAGTTTGGTGGGGACACAGCCAAACCATATCACCGTAAATGTAAGGGGAGATGGAAAAGGCAAGTGTTGAATGCGAGCAGAGTTTCAGTTTGGGAAGACAGGAAAGTTCTGGAGATGGATGGTGGTGATGGATACAGAATGTGTGAATGTGCTTAATGCCACAGAACTTATGTTTCAGAGTAGTTAAAATGCTTTTATGTGATGTGTATTTTACCATAATAAAAATGTATTTTTGCATGAAAAAAGAAAAAGCCGGGCACGGTGGCTCACACCTGTAATCCTAGCACTTTGAGAGGCTGACGTGGGTGGATCACCTGAGGTCAGGAGTTCAAGACCAGCCTGGCCATCATGGTGAAACTCCATCTTTAAAAAAAAAAAAAAATTAAAAATTAAAAAAAAAAGAAAAAGAGATATGAAAAGCATTCATTCGTGCACGCGTCATTCTTTAAAAAGCTCAGCATGATGGTAGGCCAGGCATGGTGGCTCACGCCTGTAATTTCAGCACCTTCAGATGCAGAGGCAGGTGGATCACTTGAGCCCAGGGGGCTTAAACCCAGAAGTTCAAGACCAGCCTGGGCAATGGCAGAAAAAAAACCATCTCTACAAAACATACAAAAATTAGCCAGGGCATGGTGAGGGGGCACCTATAATTCCAACTACTCAGGAGGCGGAGGCAAGAGAATCGCTTGAACCAGGGAAGCAGAGGTTGCAGTGAGCCAAGATGGCGCCACTGCACTCCAGCCTGGGCTACAGAGCAAGACCATCTCAAGAAAACCACCTCAGCACTGTAGATTCCTTCCATTCATTGCACAAAGCGGTAAGGAGTGCCAGCAGTTACTGAGCAGCAGGGGGGCAAGGTTAAATCAGGAGCAGTGCTCTGAAGATGTGCAAGCAAGTAAACCAACTATTACAGTAAGGTCACAGCCACTAACACAGACATGGTGCCTACTACGTGCCCGCACTCGTTCAGGTGTTGTACCTGCATTAACTCAAATAATCCTCATGGCAGTCATTTTTGGTTTTTGGTTTTCTTAAGACAGGGTCTTGCTCTGTCATCCAGGCTGGATGGAGTGCAGTGGTACAGTCATAACTCACTGCAGCCTCCACCTCCCAGGCTCAAGCGATCCTCCTTGCCTCAGCCTCCTATGACAGTCATTCTTATCCTCATTCTACAAACAAGAAGACTGAGGCTCAGGAAAGTGAAGAAAGTTGTCCGAGGTTATAGAGGATGCATCACACCCATACAGTCTGGCTCAGGGTCAGTGCTTCTAGCCAAAAGGTATGAGATGGAAGAAGCAATGAAAACCACAGTCTCAGAACGCAGTGGCCACCCAGAGATGGTGAGTGCAAACAAGCCATGGCATTTAGGAAGGATTCCTGGAGGAAGCGACTTTTCAGCTAAGTTCCAGAGCAGGGGTTGTCAAAACTACAACCTGTGGACCAAATCCGGCCACTACTTCATTGTGTGAGGTTTTATTTGAACGCACTCACGCTTATTTGTGTACATGGTTGTTTTTGTGGTACAGGGGCAGAAATCATAGGGCCTGCAAAGCTGAAAACAGTTATCATCTAGCCCTTGACAGAAAAAGTTTGCCAACCCTGTCCTAGAGGATTAACAGGAAAACAGTTCATGAAAGATAAAGGGAAGGTGCACAGGCCAGCTCGATGCTGACCTTGCCTTCTCCAGGTAGCTCACCCTTTTCCATTCCTTCTTCCACTTCATGTCACCTCAACAGCACAGGCAGCCTTCCCCCTCCCCTGGGCCTCTTCCAAAGCCTCCTAACCACTCCATCCACTCTTTTTTTTTGAGAAAGAGTCTCGCTCTGTCGCCCAGGCTGGAGTGCAGTGGTGAGATCTCGGCTCACTGCAACCTCCGCCTCCCAGGTTCAAACCATTCTCCTGCCTTAGCCTCCTGAGTAGCTGGGATTACAGGTGCATGCTATTGCTCGCAGCTAATTTTCTGTATTTTTAGTAGACACAGGGGTTTCACTATGTTGGCCAGGCTGGTTTCGAACTCCTGACCTCAAGTCACCCTTCCACCTCTGCCTTCCAAAGTGCTGGGATTACAGGTGCCCACAACCACGTGCAGCTAAATTTTTAAATTTTTAATAGAGATGGGGTTTCACATGTTGGGGATGGGGTTTAATTTTTAATAAAGATGGGATTTCACTGTTCTCAAACTCCTGACCTCAAGGGATCCTCCTGCCTCTGCCTTCCAAATTGCTGGGATTACGTTCATGAGGCACCGGATCCACTCCCTGCATCTGCTCTTAACCTCTGTATCCCTTCTGCCATCCAGGCAGAAAAGAAATCAACAAAAGGATGCGTTTGGATCCAAACACTGTCCTACTTAACACCTTCAAAGGCTCCCGATTGTTTTCCTAGGTGGGACTCCAAACCCCTCACTCAGACCAGAATGATCTGAGCCTAGCCTGCCCCTTCCTCCAGCTTCGTCCCGACGCATCCACTGCCCTTGCTGCTCTCTTGGGAATCCTCTTCCCACCACCTTTTGGCTGCTCATCTCCCTATTGATCTGTTCTTGGTGTCAATGTCTCCTGCTTCTCTGTTCCACCCAGTATGGGTCCCACGAGAGTCTCTGGCTCACCCACCTTTGTTTCCTCCATATAAAAATGCTGCAATGATTTCATGGAAACTCCTGTTTTGAGGCTGAGCGGGGTGGCTCATGCCAATAATCCTGGCACTTTATGAGGCCAAAGTAGGAGGATTGCTGGAGCTCAGGAGTTTGAGACCAGCCTAAGTAATGTAGTGAAACCCTGTCTCTACAAAAAACTAAAAAGATTAGCCAGGTGTGGTAGCACACACATGTAGTCTCAGCTACTTGGGAGGCTGGGGTGGGAGGATTGCTTGAACCCAGGAGTTCAAGGCTGCAGTGAGTTGTGATTGTGCCACTGCACTCCAGGCTGGGCAACAGAGCAAGACCCTGTCTCAAAAAAAAAAAAAAAAAGAGAGAAAAAAAAAAGAGAGAGAGAGAGAGAGAGATGGAAGAAAATAAAAATAAAATAAACTTTGTTTTTTTTTGGTCTCTTTTGGAGGACCAGACCAAAGGGTAGCAAGTGAAGGTGGGCTGAATCTACCACTGTAATTTCCATCAAACCCTGCCTGTAGCCCACTAAGCCCCTCAAGATACAGACACAATAAAAAAGGAGCACAGTTCCTTTTTTTTCTTTTTTTTTGTTTGAGATAGGGTCTCACTCTTTCACCCAGACTGGAGTGCAGTGGTGTGATCTTGTTCACTGCAACCTCTGCCTCCCAGGTTCAAGCAATTCTCCCACCTCAGCCTCCCCAAGTAGCTGGGACTGCAGGCCGGAACCACCACACCTGGCTAATTTTTTGTATTTTTAGTAGAGACGGGGTTTCACCATATTAGCCATCTGGTCTCAAACTCCTGTTCTCAAGTGATGTGCCCCCCTCGGCCTCCCACAGTGCTGGAACTACAGGCATGAGCCACTGTGCCTGGCCTTAAAAAGACGTAAAAGAGGTACTGTTCTGCAAATCCAAATCCAAGGCAAGTTCCCTCTGACCTGACTGTCACCCAAATCCTTCTGTGTCTAAATTTCACAGCCAGCACTGTTCTTCAAGGAGAATGTCAAGTCCCCAGAGGCCAGGGCCTAATTTATATGGCTCCTCATTTTATTCCTAGTGCCTAGCACAGCATCTGGCACCAAGTGGGAATCTAAATTTACGTTGAGCAGGGAGTATAAATTCCACCCAAAGAGGACTCCAAGAGCCAACCCGGAGCTGTGAAACAGCATGATGCAGAATGCCTGAAGGGCACGCTGGTGTGGGCATAGCGGACAGACAACAGAATCGGGGAGTGCTGCAGACTCCTCAGATCCAAAGAGCACCTTACCCCTCGGCAGGGAAACCTTAGACTGTTAAGGTGCTGTTGAGGCCTCTGGAAGTCAAAGGTTACACTTCCAAAGATGCTGCTGTGGGCGGACAAGAGGTGCTGGAGCGGCAGAGACAATGGTCTGCAGGGCTCCGTTCTCTGCACCCATTGCACTCAGCCATGTGGGTTTTAGATGGAGAATAAGGGGCCCTGGCAGCGTCACAGTCTCTTGGGGACAGCCAGGCCAAGCTCCAGGCTCCATCCTCCAGTGAGCAACAGAGGATGTAACCTGGATGCTTAAATGCTTAAATCCCCCAGGAAGCTCAGGCCTTGGCCCCTTTTAGAATGAACAAGACCACAGACCTTGGCAGAGAGTACTGGTTTGGTACCAGGGGCAGAGCCAGCTTGACCCAGATACCCCCCAGGCTCACAGGAGGAGGGTGAGGGCTTGGCAGAGAAGACAGGGTTCCTGGGAGGATCTGCTCACCTTCGCCAGCTGCACCTGCAGCTTATTCTTCACGTCTGTCACCTCAGAGATGCGGGCATTGAAGGCCAGGTTGGTGTCGGTGAACTGCCTCCACATCTGATCCGACAGGGTCTCAAAGAGGTGCTCCGCCTCCTCCCGCAGCCGGATGGAGTTGGCCCGCATGTTCTGAGAGTGCTTGATGTTGTCGTTACTGAACTTGGCCCAGGTCTCGGGCACGGAGATCCTGCGAAGGCACAGGGGCGGTTTGCAGCAGGCCTGGGAGACCTCGGAATCTGGCATTTCTCCGCCTTGGGGTCTCGGCCTTTGGGCCAGGATTATTTTCCGTCCTGTGCAGTGTGGGATGTTGGGATGTTCAGCAGCATCCCTGGCCTCTACCCACTAGATGGCAGTAGTTCTCTCAGCATCCCGTGTGACAACCAAAATATGGCTTCAGACATTGCCAAATGTCCCTTGGGGGAGGGGACAGTCACCCCATTGAGAACCACTGTCCTGATTCAATACCCTCATTTTACAGGGGAGGCAAGAGAACCCTAAAGAGAACAGCTGGTTGGCAGAAGGGCATCCAGTGAGTGGGTTAGAGAGAGGGGGTCCCTCAGACAGCTCTTTTCCCGCACACCCACACCACCACCACCAGAAACACAACTCGGACAAGCCAAGAAGCAGGCACTGGGCACAGAGGCGGTTCAGGGTCCCTCCAAGTCTGCGATGAGAATGTGGCCATGCTACTTTCACTGCCATTCATTCATGGAGTATTCCTTCAACTTCTACCACATGCCAACCAGACCCTTAGGAGAGAGCCGTGAATACAAATGGCAGCACCCATGTTATCTTGGCGGTTAATTGCCAGAGGAGGGAGACTGACAGTGAACTAGGAGATATTTACACACTGTGTTACGTGCCGAGAAGGGATTTAGAAACTGGAGGGCCGAGCCAGCCATGCCTCTAATCCCAGCACGCTGCGAGACCGGGGCAGGCAGATCAGTTGAGCCCAGGAGTTCAAGACCAGCCTGGGCAACATGGTGAAACTCCCATCTCTATAAAAAATACCCCCCAAAATTAACTGGGTGCGGTGGTGCATGCCTGTGGCCCCAGCTACTTGTGGGACTGAGGTGGGAGGATTGCTTCAGCCCAGGAGTTCGGGGCTGCAGTGAGCCATGATCACGTCACTGCACTTCAGCCTAACAAGATCCTGTCTTAAAAGAAGCAGCAGCAGGAGGATGAAGGAGACAAATGGAGTGGTGTCATTATGTTTGGTCAGGTTGTAAAAGGGAATAAAGGAATACTCAGAAGGGTAATGAGATGGTCAGGGACTAGAAAATCATGAAGTGCTAAATGTAATGGTTCGTGCCTGTAATCCCAGCACTTTGGGAGCCCGAGGCGGGCAGATCACTTGAGGTCAGGAGTTCGAGACCAGCCTGGCCAACATGCTGAACTCTTGTCTCTACTAAAAATACAAAAATTAGCCAGGCATGGTGGCACACGCCTGTAATCCGAGTTACTTGGAAGGCTGAAGCAGGAGAATCGCTTGAACTGGGAGTTGGAGGTTGCAGTGAGCTGAGATCATGCCACTGCTCTCCAGCCTGGGCAACAGAGCAAGACTGTCTCAAAAAAAAAGAAGAAAAAAAAGGAAAAGAAAAGAAAATACATGAAGCTTTCACCGTCCCAGCTGTAACGGGCAAGAGAAAAGGAAACAATAGGTGTTACAAGAGCCCCAGAAGAGGAGGGACCACGGTGGACCACAGTGTCTGGGAGGGAGGGAGCAGTAGAGGAAATCCCAGCCTCTCGCCTCCCACACACTGTCTTCTGCTGATGCCCCTCCTCCTGGCTGAACCTATCTGAAAACCTAAGGACAGAGAACCCGGGAGAGGAGATCTGCAGAGGACAGTCTGCTCTGCAGGACACACAGCATGGCAGCTGGCGAGTGCATCTGGGGTGATCAATGGACAGGTACACAGGCTACATTAGCAAAGGCAAAGGCAGGGAAGGCTTCTCAGAGGTGGGGACACACGAGGAACTCCTCAGTTTAGTCAACATAAAGTTCTTCCTGGCAGAGCATGTAAATCCCTGCTACAAACAACCAATGGACCATGCAGGGTCTTCTCATCTGGGAAGGCTTTGAGGAAGGGCATGCGTTTCTTTGAGCTGGCTTCAGGTCCTGGGTAAACCAGACTAGGTAACTTCTCAAGGTCTTTTGTGGTTCAGGAAGTTTCCAGTTCTTAAATACAGCAGATTTTTATACTCAGGCAGCAGGAAAAAAACTGAACTCAAATTTCTGAAATAGAACTCTCTTTTCAGACATTTTAAAGCACACTCAGCTTGCATGGTGAATAGAAATTTTTTAAAATCATATAGTGTGTGTGTGTGATTGTTTTGCCTGGCTTTTTGCAGGAGTTAAAAATCAAGCAATCAACAGGCATCATGGGCTTCTGGAGTCGGGAGTGGTACTATGTCAGGTTCAGAGCTTTCATCCAACCAAGACCTGAGGCTCAGAGAGTGAAGCATCGCTCCATCCCAGGACACTGAGGAAAGAGGACAGGATAAGGGCAGCAGAGGGAAACACACGGATCGACGTTGAGTGTCTCTGTTGCCTCTGAATGGGGGGACACTGTCAATGTCATGAACAGCAACCTCTAGGCCTTTGCCCTCTGCTGCAACAGACAGCTGAGCTCCCCTGAGAAAATGACCCACTTAATCACATTCTCCCTGGGGAGGAATTTGCCAAAGACAGCCTGCCGCCTCAGCAGGCAGTGCGACTCAGTAGGAAGAAATGCTTTCTGGAGTCTGTGTCCTCTAAACATGAATAGGACAGCGGACTTTGCTGGGAAGGCAGGAAGTCACCATTGGTAAAACACATGGGCTCAGTATTCAATGTAGATTCAGAATCACAGCTCTGCCATTTGCTGTGTGAGCTTGAGCCTGTCGATTCACCTCTCTGACCTTTAGTTTCCTCATTGTAAAATGGGGATAATGATATCAACCCTCAGGGTTGCTGAGTGTTTAAATGTGAAGCCCTTATCATGGCACTAGGCAGAGTAAGCGCCTGAAAAATGTTTATTATTCATGAGATGTTGCATATGAAGCTGTCAGCATGATGTCTAGTACATAGCAAACAGCAGGTAAAAGGTGTCTACTGCCATCATCATCGTCATCATCATCATCATTAATCCATGGTAACAAGAACGATAGTGAATAGAGATACTGCAGTTCACAGTCACCAAACATCCTCTTTAATCCACCCAGATATAGACCTGCTTTAAGAAAATACCAAATATGGGCCAGGCGCAGTGGCTCACGCCTGTAATCCCAGCACTTTGGGAGGCCAAGGCAGGTGGATCACAAGGTCAGGAGATCAAGACCATCCTGGAAATACGGTGAAACCCTGTCTCAACTAAAAATACAAAAATTAGCTGGGCGTGATGGTGCATGCCTGTAATCCCAGCTACTTGGAGGCTGAGGCAGAAGAATGGCTTGAACCAGGGAGTCGGAGGTTGCAGTGAGCTGAGATCTTGTCACTGCACTCCAGCCTGGCAACTGAGCAAGACTGTGTATCAGAAAAAGGAAGAGAAGAGAAGAGAGAGAAGAAGAGAAGAGAAGAGAAGAGAAG